CTTTGCAGAGCCACAATGATTTTTATAATGTCCAACTAATCCATCCCACCTCCCCCAAAAAGTTCATAGTCTTGCTGGACATAGTGGCATGTGCTTTGTAATCTCAGCACTCTGGAGGCTGAGACAGGGGGATGATGAGTTCAAGCCAGCCTGGGTTACAGAATGAGACCCTTTCTCAAAAATCAAAGGCTGGTGATATAGCTCAGTGATAGAGTACTTGCCTAGCATAGGTAGCAGTTTGATTCCCAGTACCACAAAAAATTTATAGTCTTATATCTTACCAAACAAACCCTTTAACCAGCTAAGCCACGCAATGGTCTTGCATTTTAAATTTAAGCCAATATCCATTATAAATTAATTTTTGTAGAGGATGTTTGGGGTCAGGGTTCATTTCTGCATGTAATTGCTCAAGTACCTACTGTTGAATTATTCTGGCACAATAGAATTACTTTTGCACCTTTATCAAAGCCATTTGATTAAAAAGCATGCAAACCAGTTGGTCATATTTACATGGATGTGTTTTGGGGTTCTCTCACATACTCCCCCTGCCAGGGGATGGAACTCAACCCTTATACAGGTTAAGCAAACTTTCTACCACCAAGCAACACCCCAAGCTGAGGATTCTGTATTTCGTTCCACTGGCCTGTGTCTCTCCTTCTACCAACACCACAGCCTGAATTTCTGAGGCTCTTCATTAAACCTGAATATTGGGTGAAAGGATTTTTCATTCTTTAATATTTTTCGAAATTGTTTAACTATTCTAAGGGCCATACATTTCAAAAAAATTTTAGAATAAACATGTATATATCTGCAAATATAACTAAATCTTTTTTTATTCTACTGGTTATTTAGATGTGTATTGTTTTTTAAAATGTTGAGACTATTTTATCTTTTTACCACTAGTTCCTAGTTTAATTTCATGGTGATTAGTGATTATACTTCATATGACTTTAGCCTTTTGAAATGTCTGAGGATTTGGTTTATGGCCTATCACATGGTCTAGTTTTGTAAATGTTCATGTTGTACTTGAAAATAATATGTATTTTGCAGTTGTTGAGTGGAGGGTTCTATATGTAGCAGGTGACTGTGTTAAGTTCATGGTTCAAGACTTCCATTCTTACTGATTTTGTGAAAGCTTGTTCCATGATACTGAGAAATGTATTCAAACCACCCAACTTTGATTACAAATTTCTTACTCCTTTTAGTTCTGTGAACTTTTTCTTCATATAGTTTAGGTTCTATTATTAGGTAGTTTTAAAATGTTATCCTGATCCCTTTGGTTATTATTAGATACTCCTCTCCCTACCTGTTCCTCTTGCCTCTGACATCTGAATAGCTACAGCAGCTTTTGCAGTGGTAGAGTTTGCATGGGATAGCCTTCAATTTCAGCTTTTGACATGTGTGTGTGTGTGTGTGTGTGTGGACATGTGTTATATTAGGGATTAAATCGAGGGTGTCATGTACATAAATACTCTAATACTGAGTTATAGCCTCAGCTCTGTTTTACTTTTTGAAACAGAATCTTTCTATGTCCCCCAGGCTGGCATGGAACTCACTTTGTAGCCCATGCAGACCTTGAACTTGCAATCCTCCTGCCTTAGTCTCCAAAGATTTGGGATTACAAGCCTCTACCAGCAAGCCTGGCTTTCAGCATTCTTTTTCCCCACTGTTTATATTGCATGTCATCTAAACAGTATAGAGTTGAGATGTTTTCTAAAAAAAAAAAAAAAAAAAAATCTATTCTGGAGTTCTATGTTTACACTTGGTGGTTAGCGATAAATCTGAGATCTACCATCATAGCTGCCATCTTAGTATGAGCTTTCTATTTGCTTCACTTGGTTTTCTCTTCTCCTTTCCTATCTCACCTAAAGTACTCTGCACTGTTGCCTTTCTCCTCCTCTTGAGTGCAGGAAACCACTGGTAGGAATAAGAGCGGTGGAGCTGCACAGTGTCCTGGCTACACTCAGAGGCATCAGGACTCACTGAAGTGGAGATCTGCTCCTCATTGTAGGTATGCTGAATGAAAAAGTGCAGCAGGCCATAAGCCAGGTCTTTAAGCTCCATAGACAATTCTGATGGACAGGAAGTTATCGTCCTACAGCCTTGAAGAGTAGATATGGAAAATGTGGCCATGAAAATATCTTTGGTATCAAGCCCCTTGTTTCCTTTCTTTTTTCTTGCTTTTCTCTTCATTCATTCATTCTCTCTCTCTCTCTCTCTCTCTCTCTCTCTCTCTCTCTCTCTCTCTCCCTGTGTCTGTGTGTATGGTGTATGTGTACATGTGCTCATTGGTAGGCCAGAGGAGGACATCGGATGTACTGCTAATTACTGTGCCCCATGCCCTTCTGACAGTCTCTCACCGAAGCTAGAATCAGGCAGGCAGCAGGCCCCAGGGAGCCTCCTGTCCCCACCATGTCAAAACGGGGGCTATAACCACATGCTGCTACACTGGACTTTTTTTTACATGGATGCTGGGGATTTGAACTCCGATCCTCAAGTTTGCAAAGTAAGTGTTCTTACCCACTGAACCTTCTTTCCCAACCTGCCCCCCTTTTTATTTTAACATTTCAGCGATCTCTGAAGTGGACTAGGTGCTGTCCTAGTTAAGACTTCATCCCCAGGATGTATGGCTGTCACCACTGTGCACAGCTAGAAAGCTCAGTCTTAAAGGCACAATATTAGTAATTCCCCTTCAGTGGGTCTATGATACCAATAAATGCAAATACTCTACAAACCTGCCCTCTGGGCAACTCCATTGTCAGGCCAGCACTCTGCCAGCTGGGAGGGACCCTGCCCTCAAGGGACACCACTGTCAAGTCAGGATCCCCAAGACCAGCAGTCTAAATGTCTATATCTGGCTCCCTTCTCTGCAGCCTGCCTCATATTTCCAGCACATCTTTCTGGAAGCCTGGTACATCTCTGTTCACACTACACATGTACACTCTAATTATCTTTGCCAGGCCATGTGATGTGTGCCGAATCTACTCAGTCACCATGCACAGTGGGGTTGGTTTTTATTTTATTGTAAGTTATTACTATTACAATATTAAGGCACTATGCCTTGGAATACAAAGTCATCCTACATAGCCCTGAGCCTTTGTTTGCTGCAGAAAGGCTACCTTTAAAACTAACCATGCAAGCCCTAAACCACTCTGCTGTTACAGAATGCACCTCTCCCTCTCTTGCAGTTTTGTGCTTCTAGCTATATGGGGGGAGAGAGAGTGAAAGCTGAAACTGACATATCGATTTTACCTTCCACAGTCAAATGCAGAAAAAGGAATTGGAGGATAGTGCCATAAACAAATGTTTCACCTTAAGCAAGAAGAAATGCTGTAGTGAGATAAAACCAAAATGAATCAAGGAAAAATACTTCGTTAACTGGACACATAAAAATATTTTAGCGTGACCTTCCAAAGTAATAACAATAAACCGACAGCTATAGCCTGAACTGAGTAGAGAATGTTCAGATACTACATCACATTACAGATATAATGCATATGGTATTGTACTCATGAAAGAAAATATTCTGCATAGAAAATTTGAGGCTTGTTTTTTCTACAATTTGTTAACAAGACATTTTGTTGGGAAAAGAATTCTGAAGGGTTTTTGTTTGCTTGCTTGTTTTTGTTTAGCTTGAAAGTTTTTAAAAACAAATTTTTAATTAAAACCAGAATGCCTCAGACCTTTCAGTGTGCATAGGGCCCTTGCTGCTCAGGGTATGGCCTGCTGGGTGCTCCCGGTGCTACCTGGTCTCAGACTAGATGGCAAGATGAAAGCGTGTGGCTTCTTCCCTCTACTTCCAGGAGTCCCATCAGGGCATGCAGCTCCCTTGAGTGGCTGTGGTTTCCTGGGTGGTGTGGCTCAGTGAGCAACCTGATTCGGTTCCCAATCTCCGCAGAAGCCTCCATGGACCCTCACAGCCCACGGCAGCTCTACTCTCCCTAAGAAGGGGTTCAGGGCAGCATAGGGCAGCATAGGGCAGTTTCCCTCTCTTAGAGAGAAAAGAAGTGGGAAATCAGTAAAAGACAAGTGGTGACAACACTCTGTCTTCAGCCACAGGACTCTGTGAGGAAGACTTTGAGGACATCTGAGAATTATCCTCTGGACCTAACACAGTTACCAATTCAAGAGGAAACAGCCTTCTTGGTATTTGTCTGCAGGCATCTTGCACGTTAAGAGGAATTTTAAATATGGGGCCCTTCATTTAGGCTCATTCACATCAAGTTTAGCCAGGGTTCTCTTTTCTATCAAGCTCTGGAATCACAGTACAAAAAGGGCCAGGTAACACTAACACGCAGGAGACACAGGCAGCCCACTTCTATTATCTCACTTGATCCTTACTCCAACCCTGTGAGGTAGTAGAGCAGACACCATCAGTGACACTGTGGAGAGAGTCACCTGGGCCTGCTCAAGGTGGCCCATGAGCCCTGGAAGCCTGGCTCCTCCCTTGCCACTCTGAACACACCTTTGGGAAATAAGTTGCTATTGTGGTCCAACACCTGGAGAAGGTGAATTTCCTTGGCACTTGTCAAACTATCTTGAACATGTGTAAGCTGGAAGGTGAAAGGGTCAAAACAAAATGAACTCCCAAGAAAGTCAACTGCTTCTAATGAGTGAGTGAAGGGATGATTAGAACCAACACCTGCTTGGAGAATTCTCTGACAAGCCCAATACTAATTGCAGGGAAATCCATGTGTAATGTCTAATTTTAACATTTTATCACATTCTGTTAAATAAACCTTAGGAGGGAGGAAGGGGAGGAGTCAGGCATGGTGGGCACACCTGTAATCTCAGCTATTCCTAAGGCTGAGGTAGGATGATTGGGTTGGAGGCCAGCCTGGGCAACATAGGAGACTCCCTCCAATCTCAAAAAAAAAAAAAAAAAAAAAAGGAAGGGAAAGTTGGGGGTCTCTGTGAGTCCACAGTAGTGGAGCTGGGAATGGATCAGACTTTTAACAGTCTTGCAGTGCACTGTGTTGTAGGAGTTCCAAGGCTTCAAGCTAACGGCCATGTTGACCATTGGGAATGAGATGCCTATCAGCCCCAAGGCTATTCTTCAAATATTCTGTCTCTTTGCCTTTGGTGCCCTCTTCCTCTTCTTCTTCTTCTTCTTCTTCCTCTTCATCATCACTTCTTACATCCCGAATGCTCTAGACAAAGGAAAGAATGGGCTGTGAGTGGCAGCATCCTAGGAAGAGTCTTGCATAAGTATGCACACAAGTGGGTCCAGGCCAACAGAATGGCTTCTGTTAAAGAACCCCAATACTCACACAGCCAGCCTTCACAGAGGTAGGTCACAGCACAAGTCATAAAATAGACCTCAACAAACTTAAAGAATGGAAATTTGATTATGGCAGTGGTTACACAATTAAATACCCATGTTCAAACTCACAGAACTAAATACAAATAGAAAAGAGTTAGGCCAGCAAGATGGCTCAGCAAGTAAAGGCACTTGCTGCCAAGTCCGATGACCTGAGTTCAGTCCCCAGGACCCTGCATGGTAGAAGGTGAGAACTGACTCTAAAAGTTGTCCTCTAACCTCCACGTCTGCTGTGATGCACGTGTGTGCACATGCACACATGAACACACAAATAAATGTAAGAAAAAAGAAAAATATCCTTTTTACTGATAAAATTTTAAATAACACATAAAAGTATTTGTCTTTGGAAAGCAAACATTAAACAAAAGTCCAGTTCCAGGTGTGGGATATCTTCCTTTGAATTGCTACTCAGGGGGGCCTAAGAGATCCTCAAGACAATAAGGGTTATTGATAGTGCACTTGGTTGCCCACAAGAACAGCCTACAATTTTGTCATAAGACTTGGAGAAGTCAAGTTGGTACTGATCTGGAAGCTTCCTCCCTGATGGCCAGCTTTTATAGTGCCATGGGTGCTAGATAGGTGCTGGGAAAGAAAATGTGCCAACAATTGCACCCAGCTGTGAGGCCTATCCTATGAACTACAATCATAACTCACCTGGCAAGATTGCCCATTGGTGCAATAGTGGCACGGATGTCTGAGGGAGTAATCAACAGCTGTTTTCTTGGATTTAAGGCCTACACAATAGGAGGGCATTCATAGTGGATACTTTAAACCTGGCCAAGAACCTGTGGCTAGAGAGGTCAGAGACCCTAGGGGGTAAACCGTCAGCTATCATTTTACTACATCGGTATAGTAGTCAACTGCCTTCTAAATACTTATCCCGATACCCATAGATTAGTCCAATTCTCACCCTTCATCAGAGAAGCTTCTGTTTGTAGTAGATGAAGATTAATGCAGAAAACTACAGACGATCAAAGTACAGAGAAAAAATGACTGAGGAGTACTCATCCCTAAAGGGGATGTCTATATCAAATCCCTCCCTGCAAGGCTCAGGGGACATTGAGGAAGAGGGAGTAGAAAGATTGTGAGAACAAGAGGTTGGCAACATGGCAGGCAGTTGCACTCATAAACTCTCAACAGCTGTGGCTGCCTACACATGACCTGTATAAGGTCTATCTAGTCATGTACATTCCAGCATAGACTGGGGGCTCACTCCTAGTTGGGAAGCTACAATCAGTTGACAGCTGTCAGGGGAAAGAAAGTTAGTGTTCTTCAAGGGTGGGTCCCCTAGTAGGTTGCACATCAAGCAGTGGGCAGTCCTATACCCACAGGCCTAGTGCAACACTAATTGGAGTCATACGGTTGGGGGGATAGGAGGAGGGATATAGGAGGAGTTAAAGGGAGTAGTGGGGGGGTAGGTTTGATCAAAAATGTATTCATATGTGAAGAAATAAATAAAAATAAAAAGGAAGCAAGCACAGTTGTTTTCTAGGCAAAATATTCATGTGGGCATCTTGGTTGTCAGAGTACTCTTATTGCTGATAATTAGGAGGCCTTCTATTTTCTTAAGGTAGAAATCTCCTTCAGGGACAATTCTTAACTGAGTTAGAAATTTCTCGCTCTGCTTTCATGGCTTCCTATAGTAATTTTGCCCCCGAGGAAGGGGGATGGAATCAGGCCTCTGTATGAGGAAGGGGTACATATTAAGCCTCAGTATGAAAAATGAAATACAGTACAACTTATTAAAACAAGAAAACTCTGAAAGTCCAGTGCTGGATATGACCTCAGGTCACCTGTAAGCCAGGTCGCAGTATCTCTCCTAAATTCACCTTAGAAGAACAAGAAAATACATGGATGGGGAAGGCTGTTTCTCTGTGTATTCTGTCCTTGTCTACAATACAACACCTCAGCTTTAGCTGAAAAAGAAAGCAGGTCTGGAGGATGTCACTCAGTGTACCATGGACCATGAGATAGTCCTAGTTACAAAGGTTGGGTTCATTAGGGACTTCTAGTGAGAAGCTCGGGATGCTGGTACCTTGCAACATGCACCACATGCCCCATCACGATGTACTCATGGCTGCCAACCCTAGAACTAAGCTTCACTTTACATTCAGGTACAGTAGCTCCTGCATGGTTTTAACACAGAATCTGTCCTCCATATCCCTGTCTTCATATTTATGAATTTAACCAACTGAAGGCCAGAACTTTGGAAAACAAATGAGCAAATAGCTGCACCAATAGTGAACACAGATAATTCATTTCTTGCCATTACTTCCTACAAAATGCAGCACAGCAACTATTTACACAGCAATTGCCCTGTATTAGGTATGGTGAGTCATCTCGAGGTAATTTCACTATGTAGAGCATACACATAAGTTCTGTGTAAATACTGTATCATTTTGTGTAAATGGCTTGCACATACTTGGATTTTGGTTCCTGGAACCAGCTCTTGACAAAACGGGGGACAGCTAATTATATTCTGAATTTTCCAGAAATGCGCCTGTGTATACAAGTCAGAAGACTATTTTGTTTTGTTTAGAGCTTCTTCATAGTTCCTGAAAACCATGATACTAACTGGCAAAACTACCCATGACATCTGAGTCATTCAAACATCTGCATCAGTGTGTACTTACAGAATTAAATTCATCCAATCCTACAAATATGAAAGTGCGAGCATCCATTGTCTGCATTATGCTATTTAAGATAATAATGTACACATTTTAGACACAAAGTATACAAAATTATCAAAAATGCCTTCCATCCTAGCATCCTAGTGCTTTCACAACAGTTGGGACACACACACAAACACACACACACACACACACACACACGCATACACATAAATGTTTACTTAGAAATTTAATGACAGGTAGTGAAGGGTTGTGGGTCTGGTATGATTGAGAACTATTGTTGACTCTGATGATGAGTCAAACCTATACAAGAGTCCTGGATTTCCTGGTGGTATGAGTTTGTCAGATGGACATTAAGGTTTAGTTGCATGTTTTACAAGATTGAACAGCATAAGTTGGAAATTGTGTTATTCAAATATTAATAAAATTTCATTTATCCTCAATTTTGTCTTGTGCATGCCATCTTTATTATTACAGTAGGTGTATCGACACTTAAAGGACTTACCAAAGGACAGCGAGCAGACTAAGCTGCTATTATGAACAGTAAAATTCATCATCACAACTGACAGACGTAAGAATCATTCAACTTTAAAAGAAAGGCAAGTAATGTGGAGGGGGCGGGGGGGGGGTGACTTTAACAAAGCCACACAGCTGTGAGCTGCAGACAGGATGCAAACACAGTGCTCTACAGACCCCTGCTGGAAAGAGGCGGCAGTGGAAGTACTGGGAGAGAGGGTACCCAGGAGGCCTGTGATCCAGCTCTGACTGAGGTCTTGTAAGAATACCCCCATTTCTGTCTCCTCCCTAGCTGAACACTGGCTGTCTCCTCACCTCTTCTTATCCCTTTTCTGATCTCACCCTTGGCATCAGGACCATCCTTTAGGCACAAAATTGTAAATAACAAAAATCATCCGTAATGAATGATTTTTATTAGGTGAGAAAAAGATGAGTATCTCCCTTTTATTCCAATTAAAATGGATGCTCAAGGGCTGGGGAGATGGCTCTGTGGTTAAAGCACTTGCTGCGCAAACCTGATGGCCTGGTTCAGATCCCACATAAAACCTGGGCTCAGCAGCACAAGCTTCTGCAATCCTGCACTCTATGGGAAGATGGGTGACAGGGACAGGAGAGCACCCGGGAAGTGACAGGCCAGCTAGCCCAGCCCTGACCGAAACCTGAAGTTGTCCTATGATCTCCACACACAAACCGTGGCATGCTTGAACCCACACTCACATATACAAGCACACACACACACACACACACACACACACACACATATATATATATATGTGTGTGTATCACAGAACACACACACACACACACACACACACACACACACACACACACACACGGATGTTCCAGACTTAGGAGGCAGTTTTACAACTATTAATGATTCACAACCCACCACTTGAAAAGACACTGGCTAAGATATGCTAAAAAAAAAAAAAAAAAAAAAAAAAAAAAAGAAAATGAAGCCTATTCTAATGAACGAGAATCAGAACAGCTTAAGATATAGACTACAATTCTGTGAAATCACAACTGCAAATCTTTCCCAGCAATTAAAATACTTAATAGAAATAAAAACCAAAGTCAATTTTTTTGTCCAGGGGAACCTAGGAATGTACTTACCTGGTAAAAAAGACCAGTGTTTTCTGGAATGCTACCTGTCTGCTTTGAGTGTCAACACTTGCTTTGCCCAAGGGCATGGGTCGCATTCCTGGAACCAACTACTTTGCTTTTTAACCACACTTCCCACTTGCTGCATAGCAACCCCCATTACTGGCTGCTATTCCAGAGCTATTTGACATACCCAAATACCAAGTTTTGTTTCTAGGTTTTTAAAACTTTTCTCATGCAAATTGTTGGCCCCAAACTTTCTACAAATAACTAAAGGCACAAGAAAATGTCTCATTAAGAAGGACCAAAGTCTTCTTTGAAGAATAGTTGGGGTGGACCCAGGCTTTAGCAGCCTGGATCTCTGTGGGGACTCTGCACGGTTCTGGTGCTAACCCAAGCACACTGGGCACATGTGCTTTATGTCTGCCAGCAACCAACTTCAAGGCTTTAGCAGTCCCCACTAAAGAAAGCATGCTACTGTTGTGACAACTTCAGAAAATGAGCTTTCTAGAACTAGCAAAAGCATTCTAGTACTTGGTTGAACTTTCTCAGAAAAATGGCTAGGGTCTTCTAAAATAAACTA